TCTATGTAATTGCTCATATATCTAATTATATTAGAGAAATGGTATAAAGTAGCAAATATATGTGCAGATACGATAAATAAGGCTGAAAAAGAAGTACAAAGAAAGAAGATTACTTATGAAGGGGCTATAGGATGGGGTTATGTCTTAAGTGAGATAATTACAACTTAATAGTAAGCATTCTTTTAAAGAAAATATCTTAGAAGGTACAATAATAAAATATAGTAATTATGTAGAACTAATGAGTAATACGCCTATTATAGGTGAATAATCCAATGATCATTGCATTTATTTGTAAGCTATCAACATATGAAATATAGTAAATTAATATTTACATATTAACATTAAATCATTATCTTTATATGTAATCTATAAGATCAAGGCTTTATAATTAGTAGTTAAAAAAGTATAAATAATAATTATATTGCATTTAAAACTGAAAATGTTAACATAAATTATACTAATATAAAAATATATCTCTAATGTTTTCAAGCATGAGATTTAATTTATCCTGTGCATATCAAATTCTTGCAATTTTAGGTTTGGATGATCATACATATACTCACTTATCAGCAAGACCAAAGGGAGCTGATTTTTATNGATTTTTATTATATTTACCCTTTTGGATTAAGGTTTGAAGAAGTAACTAGTGATAATTTGTTAAAAGTTAGTTTAGATGGAACAGTTTTAGAAGGAAGTGAATATAGTTATAACAAAACTGATTATATTATTCATGGTAATATATATAAAAAGAGAATGGACATTTCTTCTATCTTTCATCTACATACTCCTGCTACTGTTGCTGTATCAGCTATGAAACAAGGATTAATGCCAATAAGCCAGTGGGCATTACATTTTTATAAGAAATTATCTTATCATGAATATAGTTCTCTTTTACTTCAATCTAGTCAAACAGACAGAATTATTGACGATCTCGGACAAAATTACGTAATGTTTTTGCGCAATCATGGAATATTAACTTGTGGTAGAACAATTCACGAAGCAATGTTTTATACTTATCACCTAGAACAAGCATGTAAAACTCAGTGTTTAGCTCTATCTACACATCAAGCGTTAATTATACTCTCCCAAGAAATTTGTAAAAAATCAGTACAAGATCTACTATTATTTGAAGAAGATATAGGTAAACGTGATTGGATCGCTTGGCTTAATTTACTTAAGCACAAAAAAAATTTTGTCAACACAACCTAAGTAATATATTTATAATATTACAACTAATCTATAAATAGTATATAGTTTAAATAATTTCATGAGTTTTAGCATAGAGACTATTTTCTTTCTGCGCTAACTAAACCAATATTTTATAGCGTTATAAATATCACTATATATTCAATTATGTTCTTATTATTTTAAATTAGCTAAATACACTATTAAATATACTTAAAATTGCTTACTTTTCGTCATTCCTAATTAATTACTTTAATATTAACAAATTAATATTAAAAAATACTTGCTAAGATTTTTTAGTTTAATATAGTTAATTTATTAATAATAATATTAATAAATTAGAACCTTCTCTTAACTATTATTTATAAAAAACTTATTAAGGAGATATTATGGGAAATAGACCTTTACCAGCAAAAATGGGAGTGTTGCGAGATGATGAGGGATAGGTTATAATGTGATAAGAAAATAAGATAGTAAATAAATGTCAGAGCATCAAATAACAATGGA